CAAACACTTGAGCCTGCTAATAAAAGATATATACCGTGTTACTAATAAGACTCTTATTTAAAAATTGGAGTCTAAAGTCACGTCAGTTTTATTTCAAAAAACACTGGCATTTGGATATGTTTAAGACATTTGGATAAGCTTAAGGCAAAAGAAGTTTTCTAATTCAAATATAATATTTGAATTTTAAAAGAAACTGCTGAAAGAAACCACTACAAGATTTCTCTATAAATAGCACCAGAAGAAATCTGTACAAAGGTCCACGATCAAAACATCATAATTTCATTTTATCGATATCTTTTATTCTCTGCAAATTTACTTAAGTCTTTTCATTGTATTATAATTCTTTTGCTTAGAAGTAGTATTAGAATCCAATTCTTATGCTTGTTTCACTTGTAGAAGAATCCTACTTATGAAATAAAAGTTAGAAGCTTTGTTTCAATCCCCTCTACTTTTATTTTCTAAGTTTCTTAAAATAGATGAATGCTTGTGTAGTTTTCTTTACTCCCTCCATCAATTCCTTTGTTAGTGCTAAAAGTCATCTTTATTGAGGCGTTGAAGAAGCTGAAGGAAGGGGTCATCCTTATCTTCCAGCAATCGCTTGATTCATAAAAGGGCCGATTACGAATTCGGTCAGCACCAAAGATAGTTTGTCTATCCAACCCCTTGGGTCGAAAGACTCTGGCATGCCCCTAAAAAAAAAAGAGCCAAACAATTTGCACGCCTAGTGGGACCTTCGACCCCTGTATTTAGTTGCTACACAACTATTGGGTTGATTTGATGATGTAATCATTCAGCATATGTTGATGGCCTATAATAAAGAGGCCAATGATTTAGCACAAATTGCATCTGGCCTTAAAGTGCCAGAAAGATAGGTTGAGCAGTTGGTAAAAATTCAAAAGAGACCTTTACCGTCAATTCAAGATAGAGAAGAAACTTCTCTTGAAGTTTGCCTAATAGAGGCTAAGGAAAATAATTAGCAAATGGATGAAAATGATTGAAGGTGGCCTATTATCAAATACCTCAAAGATCCAATGCTTGAGACTGATAAAAAAAATAAAACAACAGGCATTGAATTATGTCTTGCTGAGTGATGTCTTATATAGAAAAAGTGCCACTATCGAGGAACCTTTATTGAAATGCCTTCTAGAATTGGAGGCATTGAAAGTTATGATAGAGGTTCATGAAGGGTTATGTGATGCACATCAAACAGGACCAAAAATGAAGTGGTTGATACGAAAGTATGATTATTACTGGCCTAAAATGTGGAAAGATTGCATAGGGTTGTTAAGCATGTCAAAAGAATGGGTCAATTTAAAGAGTCCCTGCTGAAGAACTTCATTCCATCATTAGACCATGGCCATTTAGAGGTTGGGCGAAGGATTTGATTTGAAAAATTAATCCTACCTTATCCAAACAACATTCTTACATAATTGTAGCGACCGATTATTTTACAAAAATGGGTTGAAGCTATCTCTACAAATTCGGTCACCGGGAACAGTATAGTTGAAATTCTTGAACGAAATATCATCCATAGGTTTGGTATTCCTGAATCAATAACGCTGATAGGGGATCTGTCTTTATGTGTTATGAAGTTCAAGTGATGACTGAACAATATGAATTTCAAATATTGAATTCAATGCCTTATTATGCCCAATAGCCAAGCTGAATCATCAAATAAGTCTATTAAGGCTGTTATTGAAAAAATGATTGATAAAAATCCAAGAGAATGTCATTTATTATTGTCTCAAGCACTTTGGGTGCTAAGGAACTCACAAAAATCAGGCATTGGGATGACTCCATTTACTTTAGTGTATGGGCATGATGCCATTTTGCCAATGGAAATAATTGTTAAGTCTATGAGATTAGCACTCCAAAATGAATTGCTACCAGAAGAGTATAATCAGGCCATGTGCATGGAGGTGGAGAGGTTAAAAGAAGTAAGGCTGGATGCTTTAAACCATCTCCAAGCACAAAAAGGAAAGTTGTCGAAACTTATAATAAAATGGTTAAACACAAAACGTTTTTTGAAGGGGATCTCGTTTGGAAAACAGTTTTACCCTTAGGTTATAAAGATAAAGAGCTTGGAAAATGGTCACCTACTTAAGAAGGACCATTTATAGTTGATCAAGTTCAAGCTGGTGGAGTTTACAGACTTAAGGATATGTTCGGTGATATATATTCTAACCCCATTAATGGACAGTATTTGAAGAAGCATCATCCTTCAAAGTATGCAGTCTGCCAAAGAAGACATCAAGTCCCTAATGTTCCTGAAGGGGTTGGAACAAGTAGGGGTTAGTTGATCTTGAGATTAGCCAAATAGCATTATAAGAACTCAGTTGTTTATTCCAGGAGCTAATTGGCTACAAACATCAATAGCTTCTTTAAGCGTCTGTGAATATGTCTTTAAGGTGCTGAGAATTGTAGGAAATTATGACTGAAAGTCTTTTTAGAAATTGTTTCCTTTAGAGAAAGTGTTGAAACATTTGGGTCGACAGTTGTATGTTAGTGTTGTTTAACACTTGTTTCAACTAAAATTTCAACAATTAGATATTTAGTCTTTTCAAGGTAGCTCAAATGATTTTAAATACAATTTCGGATTAAATAAAACCGAAAAAGTATTTAAAAGGGGGGCATTATTTGCACCTCAAAATTATTCGGCCACATGGCATTGAATAATTTAACAAAAGTTCTTACTTTAATTAATTAAAATAAATTAATTATTGGATGACTTTTTATGATGGGCTGTAATAATAGAGGATTATTTCAAGTTGATGCAAACACTTGAGCCTATTAATAAAAGATATATACCATGTTACTAATAGGACTCTTATTTAAAAATTGGAGTCTAAAGTCACGTCAGTTTTATTTCAAAAGACACGGGCATTTGGTTAAGCTTAAGACATTTGGATAAGCTTAAGGCAAAATAAGTTTTCTAATTCAAATATAATATTTGAATTTTAAAAGAAACTGCTGAAAGAAACCGCTACAAGATTTCTCTATAAATAGCACCAGAAGAAATCTGTACAAAGGTCCACGATCAGAACATCAGAATTTCATTTTATCGATATATTTTATTCTCTGCAAATTTACATAAGTCTTTTCATTGTATTATACTTCTTTTGCTTAGGAGTAGTATTAGAATCCAATTCTTATGCTTGTTTCACTTGTATGAGAATCCTACTTATGAAATAAAAGTTAGACGCTTGGTTTCAATCCCCTCTACTTTTATTTCTAAGTTTTTTGAAATAAATGAATGCTTGTGTAGTTTTCTTTACTCCCTTCATCCGTTCCTTTGTTAGTGCTGAAAGTCTTCTTTATTGAGGTGTTGAAGAACCTAAAGGAAGGGGTCATCCTTGTCTTTCAGTAGTCGCCTGATTCACAAAAGGGCCGATTACGAATTCGGTCAGTATCAAGGATAGTTTGGTTATCCAACATCTCGGGTCGAAAGACTCTGGCACGCCTTAAAAAAAAAAAGAGCCAAACAGAATGACACGGTTTTTATGTGTTTGTCGTTTTTTGTTGAATATGAGGAAGAACGACACAATTTTGATGTGCTTGTTGTTCTTCATCTTCAAGGCTTGGGTGTTGGGAATGAATGTCGGCAGAGTTTTCTGTATTTTATTTTGAAATTCTAGACCCTTTAAATATTTGGATCTCTGAATTTCCGAGTCTCTGAATTTCTGGACCTCTGGATTTCTGAGTATATGAATTTCTGGACTTTTGAGTCTCTGAATTTCTGCCCCTCTGAATTTCTGAGTCTTTGAATTTCTGCACCCCTTCTTCCTTCCTCCATGCTTCTATTTATAAACTTTTTGGATGAATAGGATGATGACATACGCCCTTTCTTGATAAGGACATAACTAGAACGGGACGAGGCCGGTTATATTGTGATAATTATCCATAAAAATAATTATTTCAAATATATTTTATTAAGAATAATTATTTTTTTATTTAATCACCTGGGTTAATTAAATAATTTAAATTGACCAAATTTGAGCCAATTAAATAATTTAATTAAACGTGAGACCCATATTTGATGAGTCAATTTATTTAGACAAAAGCCCATGAACTCTAATTAAGTGAGTACTGAGTGACTATGGTGACACATTCCTCCTAATTTCAAAAGTTATGTAACTTACGTTACTATTGGTCTATAAAATGCAACAAATTATAAATTTTTAGTAATATTTATTTATTTATTTTTAATACCTTAACCATAAACACATCACACATCACACATCATGTGCCTCTAAGGTAATATGAGTACTTAATTCCTGAAAAAAATTATTAGCTGGATAATAAATGTTGAACCATTTTTAAGCATTGATTTCCAATTTAAAGGATAAATTTGTTTCGTTCAACAAAAACTCTAAGCAATTTTTTTTTTTTTTCCTTCTAAGCAAATATTTGAGTGGCAATCAAATGTTAATCACAAATTAATTGTTTACTCATATTGAATAAGTTATCCAAACAATGTCTAAAAAAAATAAAAAAAATCAAATAATGGTTTAATAAGTATATATGTACAATAGACAACAAAAAATAAATTATTATTTTTACAATTTAAGTTCATAAACCACAAAGAGTTATAATCGAGTAGTATTTGTTCTCTCTCAAAATAGAAGGACAAGCATTACTTGTTGCGAATTTAATTGATTTTATTTTTAATTTAATTGATTTTATTTTTAATTTATTGATATTTAATTGTCCAAAATTTTAAGTAAATATTTGCCGAGTAAAATAAACCTAACAAAAAAAACTCGTAATTTTTTTTTTTTTTTTTTTTCATGACCTTTACCAATGCTGAAAAGTAAAAGTAATAAAACATTTTACTTTTAAAAAAAGTTTATGTAAAAAACAGTTTTCGAGAAAGATATCTCGAAACAATTGGATTGAAAATCTTTACTTTGGAAATTGGACCCACCTAAGTACATACAAACACAGAATTATATATATATATCAGCATCATCGTACCAGTGATAGAGATAGAGACACCAACCTGAAACCATCACTCTCAAATGCCAAAACCACAATAGACGCTGTTTTCATTTCCAAATCAATCCATCCCTGGAAATAGGGCAAACCACAGAAAAGAATAATGATGGGAATCTTTATTCACATGAGAAACGTAACCAAACGCTCCTTCCTTCTTCAACAACTATCATCATCCAATCCCACCAGAGATTCAAATTCCATCGCCAATTCCCCTGTTTGGCTACAATCTCCATTTTCCGCACAATGCACCAGTCTTCACCATCTCTCTAAGATTAGGGTTTCCAAAACCTCTCCCTCAGCCTTCTATATATCATCTCCTTCATATTCATCTTCTGCATCATCATCGTCGTCGTACTCAAAGATGGGACTTCTTGTATGGTATTTGGGTAAGCTCGAGTCTCGTCCTCTGCTCACTAAAAGCGTCACTGCCGCGTTTATTTTCGCCGCTGCTGACTTGACCTCCCAGGTAAACCCTAGATTAATTTCATCTTTTTCTTTTTCCGTCCCTTTTATATATCTTAAAATGTTATACACACACATACGCATTGATTATTTGGTTAACAACTGAACTATTGTAGGATGGATGTGGAATAGATTTGATCATGATGCTATTCTGGTCGGTGATATTAATTTTAGCAGAAAATAGTTGTTAATTTTTGTTGGGTATGCAAAATTATAAATGCCATTGACGGTTTTGTAAGCATGAGTAGCACAAAGCTGGACCAGAATTTAATTGAAGGAATGCGCCGAGTGGGAAAAGGACAGATTAGTGATCCATTGATGTTTTAGGTTATTTCTCAACCTGTTGTGTTAGTTTATATTTTGGGAGTGACTTGAACTAACACAATTTATTGGTAAAATAGTTGACTTCTGAACAGTAGGAAAAAGAAAATGTAACAATTGGAGAAAGAATAACATAATAGTGGCGATCACTTACTTAACTTCTAGTGTACCTATGGCACCTAATTCGTGCACGGGCAAACTGTCCTCAAGTTCATGATACAAACCAATTTCCACCCACTATCCACAAACTCAAGCTTCAAGAGGGTGGGTTGTGGACATTTTTCCTGGATTAACATTATATTTCTCTCTTTATCACTAAAAATGAACCAAATTTTGATGCACAATAGTTTTGCTCCTGCACCTGGGGGCTGTAAATCAATGTTTTAACCATCTTGGTGCATTACTTGCATATTTTAGACTTGAACTTGTGTGTGTCTAGTAACACATTTATATACATATCAAGTATCACTTTCAGTTGAGGAGCATATTGGAGGTTCTCGACTCTATAATCTAGGATTTTTTTTTCTACTGTTTTAGCCTGTGCTTTCACTTTACACTTGTGTATCCTGGGTATCTACTATGGATAAGGAATTCTGGTTCTAAGGAAATTAAGAAAGATATTTATTATTTGTTCTACATGTCATAATGGCAGCACAACCTTAAAGCTGTCACTGTAGTTATTTAATCCGCCTTGAAGCTGCAAAAAATCTGACTTGTTCAGTTTGATCCTTGCATCGGAAAATTTTGAATAGAAGGATTTAATCCGTCCTTGATACAATTTGTATTCTGAGAAATATGGTTGTCTAACACACACACACACATTCTATTTGAAAAATACATGGGCCAAAAATTTGGGATGTAAGGGCTACTGCTAGTTGCTGGAGCTGTTTGATTGATTTTTGTATGCCTCATGGCTGATTTAAAAAGATTAATCTGTCAATTCCACTTGAAAGATTTAAGTAACAAATTCTTATTTCTATAGCTTCCTTTAGAAACTCGGCATACTTTTTTTTTTATGCAGTTAATGGGTTTAATGAACAGGTAATTTCTGTTAATTATATATCCTTGTCGACTGATCATAATATAATTATCTGTCAGACGATTACAATGTCATCTTTTGGTTCCTTTGACTTTCTAAGGACATTACGTATGGCTGGATACGGGATGCTTATTTTAGGGCCAGCACAGCATATGTGGTATAATTTCATGGGAAGAGTGCTACCAAAGCGTGATGTAGTCACTACCTTGAAGAAACTTGTCGCGGGGCAGCTTACTTATGGACCTACTGTCAATGCTATTTTCTTCTCCTTCAATGCGGCTCTACAAGGTAACCCATTTTTTATTTTTAATTTTACATTTTTGCAGCTAATTAGAAAGAGCTGCATTTTTTAAATTTATTTATAAAATACCGTTATAAAATATATTTAATGATATAAGCTCTGTTACATGGACTCTCCTATTTTCTTCTTGTACATTTGTGGACATGACAAGGGTATGGGTACAGGATATGTATTCACAAATCTAAATTAGACACCCTAATTCTTCACATGGGTGATGAAAAAGGGCAAAAAAAAATTCATATGTAATAGCAGAGATGAGTTTTCTATCTATTAGATAGAGGGGGAGTGGGGGACCATTTTTTTTTTTCCCATAAGCTAGAGGGGGGCCATTTTCTTTCAACATATCTCATTTAATTTGAGTAATAATTGAGTATATTCATATAAATCACCAATATTATATATATAAATATTTGATAGGCAAGCTGAGGTTTCATTAGAAAAACATATCCAATATATTACAGGGCGTCCCACTGGATTTATAGAAAAAACACCACAACCACTAATTCAAAATCGGAAGATTTAAAGGCCTAAAGTGCAGCAAACTAAACAACATTAAATATTACTATATCATAATACATATATATATTTTTCTTTTCTTTATCATAAAACATATAATGTATTCAAATGTCTGTCTACATATTTTTGGATACATATCCCCATATCCTAAGATTCAGGATTCGAGGAGGTTCAATACTTGGACACAGTACATACCTGCACCTGGTACACTTACCCGAGTTTTGGTAACACAGGTCATAGCTTAGTAAATAAGAGGCAAATTGCTATAACAGAAATAGTGTGCATAATGAAGAGTACATGTATGAATGTGAAAGTGTATCGATTTTGTATCAGAGTGTTTGAATTCATAACTCCATTATCATGTTTCTATCAAGGAAAATTGTTCTGACTAATGAACAATTTGTGGCTTCTCATGAACTAAGCTTGAAGTAAGTTGTTGCTTATGAATGTATAAATGAAGCCTACTGGGGTGTGGGATTGAGATGGTTGTCGACCTACCTGGATCAGGAGCAGTAGATTTGAAGTTACGTAGTGTTGTCCCTATTAATCTAGGGTGCTGGGAAGAGCATACCAGATAGGGAACTCAACTTTTGACATTTTTTGTATAAAGTGACTGTTCTTAGGAATCAGGGGCTGTAGCATAAAGATGGATAATCTAAGGAGTAAGCCTTAGCGCATAATCTCATTTGGGGACTTGAACTTCAATGGTGCAAATGGGGAAGACCAGCTAAAGTTGTCAAAATTTCTCTGAACAGTGCCTCCTCAAAAGTCTTTGCCTTCAAGGTATGTTATTGATTAAAAATGACCAAAATATGAGACAGGAAAGGTACAAAATATCTTTAGTCTTGAACGGGTGTACCTCTAAGAACCTCTGGGTTGTACTGTGATTGTTTGATGTTATATATCTTACTGAATATAAGTACTTATCTAAATAATAATAATAATAATAATAATGCTAAATATAAGCAATTGTTAATTACTCATTCCCCTGACAGAAATTAGGAGCCTGTAGTCATGCACATCACTCCCCGCTCATCCATTAGCCCAACATGAGGATCAATGGAAGTTTTTTGCTTTTGGAAGTGTGGGAATACCTCAATCCTGTGAAGATTGATGTAAGGATGGAACAAGAACTCTTAGGTTTTTTTATGCTAGAGAAATTTTGTTTGTAGCACCATGAAGCCATTGGGCGACTTTCCTTGACAATCAGAGCTTTTTGTCGAACTAATCTGGAATTAGCATAGTTCAAGAAATGCTTGAAAAGAAAGGTTGCAGAAAATAGCAGAGAAGAGCGAGCCCGAGGAGACCAAGCTCCTTTAGCCATCTTGATGGCCATAAAAATCACCTGTCCAGTGTCCACTGATGCTATATCCTAGATTACCCTTGAGCATGTAGACAGAAACCCAACAAGCGAGGTAAGTTTTCCAGCTTGAAAGGGAAATTCTTTATCCAAATTGGTTGCCTCAATATGAGTTTGGTGGTTCTCCAAAGTCACCGCTTTATCCAAGGGACTCTGCTTGCATCTTTAAGAAAGTAAGGGACCTAAAATAAACCTCATTTTCTTATACTGGTAGATTGGGACCCACGTTCTCTATGAAGTGCGAGTTGCATTGGTATGAAGCAGCGAGACTACTGGATTCATAATTATATGGCTCACTCCGTTCCAGCAATGTCAAGTCTTCAAGACTGTGAGTCCTATATGTTTTCAGCTCCATCAACATGTGAACATCCTCCAGGGTGACAGTGAACTTGCCCCATGATGTTACAAATGTATGGATAATTATGCATGGAAGGTCTCCTCAGATGCAGACAGCCCAAAGGATGCTGACATCATGAAGCCTTTGCCGGTAACTTTGGCTTACCAAATATCTCTCTGATTCACACCCCAATTGATACAGGTGTTTGTATTAGTAATAAGGTAGTGTGGAATAGCTAGGGATAGTCCGTTGTTCACTGCCACACCCATGTAGAAGAAATTCAATTACTCTCTAGTGGATCATGTTGCACAAAGGAAGGTGCGAATAATCTTCAGTTCTTTGGGTGTTATACTTCCCAATTGGGTTAGCCTTAGCTTTGAATAAGAAGGTATTGACAGAGTTGAAGTCGAAAGACTAGAGGAATCACATGAGAGTAATAGGTTGCTACAGGTATGTGACAAGTATGAAAATAATGTGATTCCATATTTCCTTTGTGCATTAAAAATGGTTTTGCTGCAAGGTTGCCACCGGTGCGTTTAAGGTAGTGATACATGTGGCAGCATGTCACCAGAGAGCATTTGTTATACACTCGTGAGCGAACTTGGCACGGTAAATAAAGCAAAGGACATAAAACAACACACGTGCGAGGAAAATTGGCAAAACTGGAAAATTTTCTAATGAAATATTGCCACGTGGCTCAAGCATTTGCCACCATGAAGTATCAGCCAATGGCCTATCTGGTGTTACAACTAATGTCGAGCAGTGTCTCTGTCCTTCACCTGATAAGGGAAAACCCAGCCAGACCAATTCTTGCTTAGTCAAAGCAAACAAGTCTCAACCCAAATTTTGTGCACCTTGACTCGAGCAGTATACCCACTATACCCAGAAGCACGGTCCAAGGGATCTAGAAAGAGGATCCAAATTATGACATGATGGGAGGGTGGTCAGGAATTCGGGAGGTGTTGGGTTGGTGGCTTGATTTTGAAGGCTTGTTGAGGTTGTCCTATTGAGGATTGTCAGAGGCAGGAATCGTCTCTACTTACGAAATAAGCGAAATAAGGGAAATCTAACATCATATTCAGAATGATTTTTGAAGGAATCCTTCTAGGTTTGGTTACTGTGGTGCCGAACCACTTCGTATGAATGGATATTCTGTGGTCTTACTAGGGCCACATCAACCTCTTCAGTAGTGAAAAAAAAAAATGGTTTATGCAGCATTATTAAGTATTTGACTATGGTGGAATGATTTTTGAGCAGTCAATCAAAATACTATATACGTCTCCTTAATTGAGTGCTTGTGTTTGTCATGAATATAGGCTGTTTACAGCCTGTCATTAATTGACAGAGTTGACTATTCTGATCCATATAATCTACTAGCTTGATTAGAGGAATATTTTGATGCTACTAGCTTGATTATAGGAATTGATATTTGATTAGCTTAACTTCTGGTAATTGGCTAAGTGATTGTACTGATTGCCTGCCTTGGGTTCCTATATAAACCCACATGTACTCACGCTATGGAATATACAAGAATTCTTTTCTTCTACGTTCTTGCTCTTATTTTTTTCCAACATGGCATCAGAGAGCCAAAGGTCTCGAGTTCGAACCTCACCGTCACCCTAATTAAAAAATTGAAAAAAACACGCGTTGGACCAAAAGAAGGCCACACGTGAAGGGAGCGTGTTGAAGGATTCATATATTAAAGTTACACCCTCTCTAACAACTTAAGCTTTTAAAGTAGATGGTAGCTAATATGGTATCAAAGCAGATTGCTTCTGAAACCCATATCATGTCTTCCTCTTCCTAACCATGTCCCCACCATCATCTCCTCTACATCACCAGCCTACCTCTACTCCACATCTCTGTTGTTCTCGCGTATCTTTCACATATGATTTTTTTCCCCATACTGCCATAGTTCTATTCAGTTTTACGTTTTTTTATGTAAATAGTTTTATATTCTTATTTGTTTTATTATGTAAATAAATAAAAATAAAAAAAAGAAAAAAAGGGAAAAAAAAAGGGGGGTTACAACTTCATTGACTCGATGGCATAGCATAGCCTTGTTTAGAAAGAATCATCTTGTAGATCTCCTTGCTTGGATCTTGTTCTTGCTCGGATATCATCTCGTTCTTGCTCATTCTTCATGGGTGACAAAACAGATAGCAAAGATTCTCTCTTCTTCGGTTCCATGACGAATATCAAACTGAAGGGTCCCAATTACCTTCAATGGGCTCGAGCTGTCCAAGTTGCTTTGAAAGCTCGAGCAAAGTTCTCTTATCTTAAGTCAACCAAACCTACTAATGCCAAATTGGTTGATGCTTGGGAACAAGAAGATGCCCAAATTATGACTTGGTTATGGAATAGTATGGAGCCGGAGTTCTTCAACAATGTCTCTTTTCTTGAAATCTCTAAAGAGATTTGGGATGCCCTGAAGGAGATGTATTCATCTGAGCAAAACATATCTCAGATTCATCAGCTATATGAGGATCTTTTTTCCACTACACAAGGAGATCGCTCTGTTGAAGATTGTTACTCCTCCTTGAAAGATATGTGGGAGGAATGATTTGGAGACTCAGAAATGCTACATGGAAGAATTTCGCGTGTCAAAATTTCTTTCAGGACTTCAGCCCGAATTTTCTCGTGTTAGTTACAGATTCTCGTTGGTACAATTTTGCCATTTGCCAGTGAGGTTTATAATCGTGTTCGATGTGCCAACCTATCTGCTTGTGAGAAAGCCGGTCGCTTTGCCCTTGCAACTCCTGTTGGGCGCTCTG